GGTAGCTTCCTATGGCCTCTTACGTCAAAGCTTACCACCAACTTCGACGGCAAACTCGCTCCCATACCTCATTTCCGCGTCTGCTTGTCTCAATGCGTGAGAACGATGCGAGTAGTCAACAACAGGAGCAGACTGAGCAATATATTCGCGTCGCGAGCTGTGGATTTAAGTGCTGTTTTGGCTTTTTTTGAAGGTCGAAATTGGAATCGTCTACTCAGAATAGTCGCTAGTGTTTTAATAAATTTTTTCGAGGGAGGGCACGACATATCATTTTCAAAATAGTGCGCGGCTTGACCATTTTCACGAAATAATTTTCTAGATTGATTTCTAGATTTTCTGGATTTTCTAGATGCTTTTCGATATTTTTGTGCTCAGTACTCAACCAAAAATTTTCTTTAAAACTTTACCCGCTTTTTGCGAGTTCTGTGATTTATCTTCTGTGATACAAGTAGCGAATTACTTGCACATGTTTATAACTCATGTAAAGAACTTTCAAGAATTCCGCGGACTGCCTCTCCTCCATCCTTCCCCTTTCAACAGAGAACCTTTGCTTTGGTCAATTTTTTGGTCATTTCTGTTTCATGCCACAAAAATGGATCAAAAATAAGATGGAAAAGACTTAATTTCACTCAAATGACTACGACATTTGGACGCCTAGATAATTAGCTAATTACTTCCAGTTGCATTTCAAGCCCTAAAGTCCATATGTATCGGATTACTGTGATTCTTCCCCAACATGGTTCGCATATTGGCACGCCGGTAAATAAAAGGTTATGCTTTTATAATCAGACTATCCGATTACTTTACGTGGCAATCTTCGAAAACAGCTATAAAGGCAGTCGATATAATCAGTATTTTTCACTCTAATGCAATGTAAGCAGTTATCGAAGGCATGCATTAGGAATAGATTTCCACTTAGTGAAGGTATATGCGCAAGTGCAGTTACCTGAAATAACTCGCGTTTTTTTACTTCTCGTTTCATAAAATAGGTATTGCAATGAAATGTTAGATCTAGTTTATGTTGCGCTCTATTTTATGCTTAATTCATACATATATTTGACGTCATGACAACGCTATCGTTTCAAGATGTTCATCCGTTATGTTTGGGGCTTCTTTTGTGATTTTGATTTTGTGCCTTTCCCTCAGCAATTGAAATTGCGAATAAATTGCAAAAAGCATTTGATATCCGCTGAAAGAATCGCGCGCACAGTCGTAAAATCTTTTTAAGTCATCAGTGACGCGATATGGGTAATCACTTTATCGAATTTTCTAGATGAAGATGTTAGATGAAACGGCACCTACATCGATGTGATGTAATAGTCGTTCCTAGCTTAGCAACCGCGGATAAATTGCCGATTGATGGCTTTAGCGATGATGCGATTATCGAAAGGCGTGCATTTGTGTGATTAAATTAGGTTACGGTTGTGGGTAAGAGTTATCCTTACGAAATTTTATCAGTTCCGGGAAAGAGTGCTTTTTAGAGAACGCTCCTTATCATTCATAAGCTGTCTAGGATATTACTTGCAGAATGTGAGTCATTTTACAGATGATTCACCAAGTGTTATAGACCTGTCTATGGTTTAGTTCCAGATCTGTCATCTACACCTGTGCAGTGTTTTTGCTTTATTGTGGATTGATAGTACTCTGAATTTTGTTTTCTAACAAAGTGCAAATGGGAATTATAAGCATCAAATTCCAATGCAAATGTTTCGACAAGCTTTTTGCATATTGTCACATGTAAACAGCTTGTGGAACATAAGCGTATTCAGCAAGTTATTGAATGAATTTACGTAACAACGTATTAGATTGGCACCTAATTCATGCAATCAATTAATTGCTGCATTGTTCTTTGGGATTATGTACTAGGTTCGAACGAAAGCTCTATCGCACCATTTTTAAAAGTTCTCAGCTCCTAGATTTCTCAGTATGCATGTATTTGATATTGAAAGAAGAAATTATAGCTTCAAAATTGCGTGTACTGCACTTCCCAATACGCACTCATTGGTTAGATAGAAGCGGTAGAAGAAAATCACTCCAATTTTGATTTTCCTGAGTTTGGTCATAAAAATCTGAAACTTGCAATAAAATTCGAAGCCGGCAGTATTATAGGTTTCTTAACCTGCTCTTTCTTGTGCAAAGTTTGTGTTGATTAAAATCTCCCCACAATAAAAAAAATTATGATTTTCGAGAAAAATTCGAAAAAAGAACAAAATTGCCTTTGTGTATTGCTTGAGAAAAATGCAAAAATAGATCAAAATTGCCTTTATGTACTGTTTGCTCGACAATCATAACCTTTCATAGAAAAATGCAATCAGCACAAACCTTGCACAGTGAGAAAGAGCAAGTTAAGAAACCTATAACACTGACTGCTCCGATGTTTATTATTAGTTTTAGATTTTTTATGACTAAACTCGGAACCAAGCTTTGAGTGATTTTCCTCTACCGCTTCTGTGTATCAAAAGTGAATATTGAGTAGCGAGCTGAATGCATTTTTGGCATGACTTCTCATTTCAAACAAGAATTGAATGCATTCAAATACGTTGAAAAATTAAGAGGTTATGTTTATTTTTGAAAATGGGCGGCAAAACTTTCGTTCCAATCTAATAGATTGTGAAGTGCGGTGTAAATCTGCGCAAGTTGCTTAATTTCTGAGAACAATCGGGTGAAATTGTATTCTTTGAAAACTAGCCAAGTTCTAGTTCGAGTTTCAACTGGGTCAAAAAGCAAGCATAAAGCTCGTAATTTGAATAATCACATTGGAAGAAACTGCGTATAAGTTGTTAGAGGCTCTTCGAGCAATAATATGTTCGTTTTCGATCTGTTAACCTTTGCTCGTTGCGAACGGCTTCATTTTCGCTATTTGACTTAGTGGGATACCAAATTCGACTAGCTTTCGGAAAAATGGGAATTTTTATGCTTTTTTAACAGTTTGCGCACATAACTGACTTCATCATCATCTATATAATTTCAAAGAATAGTGCGCTGCATTCAGAGTGCAAATTTTACGAATTTAGTTGCACTTATGTGCCAACCTAACATCTTTACCTCTTCCATCTTTTGAATAGAATGTTAAACTCTTTTTACCCAGTATTTCCTTTTTCTGCAAAGAATTTACAGAAAAATTCTGTTTGTGACCTATCGCGATTTGTATCGAATTTTTGTCAAAGTTCTCCCTGATCATCAGTCTCAGGCAGGAAGCCGTGGATTTTGTGCGAAATGAAACGCTTCAGTTTACCTGAAGCGTGTTTAATGTCGTAAAAGATACAGAAACTTCAGAACCGAATGCAAACAGCTGAGCAGTTTAATATTTGTCGTAGTTGATTCGTTCAACGTTTCTTGTTTATGTCCGATCCTGCTCTGCGTAGAGCGAGCGTATCGCACTTGGAGCATCGCACAAGCTACGACGCATGTTTGCCGACTATATTTGTGTGACCACTGTGTCGGCGCAGAGAGTGTCTCATCGCTTGAGCGGCACACTAGTACAACAGAGAATAAGGTCGTGTGTAAATTATTCCTCTTCTCGTATAGCTGAATGCCTTGTGTCGAAGCGTTTTTGAGCTTACAAATTGAAGGGTGCAGCCCTAATTTGCGGGTAGAGGAAGCAATACCGCCATTAGGCGCCGCTTCTGTCGGGTGGTCTTTTCGCCGTATGGAATGTCCGCGTAGGAAGCGGTTTTTGGTGCATTTGATCCTTGCACGCACCGTCTCCATCTTTGAGGTTGGTAGATATTGTGCTGTACAATAGCGAGGCCTTTAACTACGTAACTGCCCAAGTCGTGCGCTAAAAGGAGTATTCCGAAGCGAGAAAGTTGTTCCAGATAGTGTATGCTGCGGAAGTCGTCACGCCTACCGTGAGTGCTCTGGAAGACATGTCGGAACTGGACTTCAGAGTGACTAAATGTCGAAAATGTGTTTTTTCACGATGAAAGATGGATTTTCGACATTTCTAGGTACTGTTGCCTATAGGCCGCCCACAATGGTGGGCGTGGCGATCCCAGCAGCATCAACCGTCTGGACTGATTTTCTCGCTTCGGAATACACTTTTTTCTTCGGGACTTGGGCAGTCACTTAGTTAGGGTTCTTGCTGTTGCACTGCATCCAAATCTTACCTATCTTAGCTTTGGATGTACGGTGCGTTCAAGCCTAATTTGTAAAGCTGTAAAAGTGCGGCGATGTTTTGTGAGTAAACAATTCGTCCTGCAGTTTGTTATGTACTTCTCCTTTCTTCTAAAAACCGTCTAGTCGCTAATACAATGTGTATTCATCATCATGCTAACTGACAATGTGTGTGTTCGATACAGGCGTAAGCTCTTACCGTTTCGATGCTGGGTGTCTGCTCTGACAGGTTTTGCTGTCGACGCCCGTACGATTCACACGCAGCCACGCAACTGAAGCTAAGTGCTTCTCTCTCTTGTCGCATCCTTCCCTCGCTCTGTCGAGTTGTCCTTGACTCTCAATCGCACTTTTTCATTGTATGTTGAGCGTAATTTTCCTTTTCTGAGCTTGTCGATGTCTATATTTAGAATTTCTCGACATCGTCTCAAGAAATTATGTCCTCTCTTGAAATTCAAAGTTTCATTTTGCCAAAAAGGGACTCATGGATTTTCTAGCAGCCACAACAGAATTTTTGAAAGGGGGAGGGGGCTTTTCGCGAACTTTTGGTCGTGTTTCATATACTCGTAATGAAAAGAAGCATTTTTCACATTTTATTTGCTATTTGATTTCTGAAAGTCGGATTCTATTACCACTGCTTTTGTACCAACTCTGCTTTGATTTTGCAAAAAGTTGCTATATTTTAAAAATCAAAATTTGAAGCTCTGTTCCCTACGCTGTCACGCTTCCTTCTGCTTTGAGTTCTTGTCAACGTTTGTCACGCTCATTTATCATTTATAGAGTTGCACTTGTCCTTTATGAAATCGTTGGTCTCGTCCTTATCTTGTCTTGAAATAGAGGAGAAGTTGTTTTGATGTACTTCCTGCTCAATTGCCTTTTTATTCCAGTGACTCGCCAGCGGCTCCAGGACTTGTACGTCAACTAGGTCTGAGCAGTGTCGCAAACGGTACCAATACCAATACCTTTTCCTCAAACACATCTATCCCCGGTAAGTTTTGGCTAAATTTTTAAGTTGCTTGACAAGATCGTCTCGTTCTGCAGGAGGGAACGGTCCTGGCTTGTCTGTCGTTCTTCCACCATCATCTCGCTTCTCGACCTCATCCTTACTACATTCGCTACAAAGTCCGGCAACTTCTACATTTGCTTCATCAGGTCAACGACAAGCTGCTGCAAATCGATACGCTACCTCGTCCCATCTACCGCATTTCGATCGTCGTAAGTTCTTTTTTTTTGCTGCCATTTTTTTTCATGAAGTGCGTTTTTTGTTCGCCTTCAGTATAAGAAATTGTACACCGAAATGATGTATTGTGAGAGCCTAGCAGCAAGCGCTTACGTCGTAACGCGCACCTCATTGCGCTATTCTGTTTCTCTATAAAAGTCATCCTTAACTAGGTTGTATTGACTCCGTCTTTCTTTTGAGATTCCATTTATTTCTGTGTTCATCATAGTAGTTGACATAAAGTAGTTACAGATTTTTATCAAGAAAAGCCAATTACAGTTTGCTGTGGTTGATCTTTCTCATGTAAGCCCAAAATCTTTTCACAAATGACATCCTTCTTTTCTATTTTTTTTTCTTAACGAGTTGTTAGTCATCGCGATATTCTGCATCTTTGTCTGCCTGTTGTTGGAATAAGCTCAGACTTTTTCTTTCAACCGCTTGCTCAGTCCAATTCTTGCGTAAGCTTCGCTCTCGGCGGGAACCTAGCATTATGACATCTTACAGTTGAAGATCCGGTAACTTTACAAAATCACCTAGTCACTGTAATCTCTCATGCTTTGCTCTTTCTTTGAATGCACATGGTTCCCTTCACGAATTTGTCTCTATTGTTGAACGATTTTGCGCCACACCTCACATTTTGAATGCCATTTCATTCCTGCAGGAATACTTGTATTTCCCAAAAACTTGTCCATTGGTTTGTCAAGTATCGCAGCACATGAGGGCTGAACGATATTTCCAATTCTGGTATGGCTGGTATGGCGCCCAGACTGATGTGGGATGAGTTTGGGCGTGTCGTCGTCACAGTAACGATTCTCCATCTCGCGAACATTCATCGTTCTGCTTCTCTTCGGCTCTACTTGCGCTAACTCTCGAGATTTATGACTATGCGGTCTATTTTGGCAAAGAAATGGCCATCCCGAGCTAGTGAATTTACTTCATTACGTGGCGAAGTTAATAAGTACACTCTCCTTCTTTTCGGAGTTTTTCAAGTCACTCGCTGTACGAGCGGAAGAGAAACGTTGGGCTTCTTGCAAAGAAACTAGACCTCATTTCGTGCTCCATGGCTGGATTTCTTCTTATCCTACGCTCACTGCGTATCGAATTACCGCGCTGGTCCATTCAAGCATCCACCGCCCTAATTTATTTCCATTCTGACTGCAGAAGGTTCGCTAAGGGTATACTCCACAGTGCTGAGCTGTTCTCGTCAGTTGATTTGATCGTTGGGAGACATGTCGTGCATTACACCAATCACCCAGATGCTTTATTAGCGGAAGCTTTGTAGATAGTGTAATGTGCGAACAAATGCTTTGCACCGTCCTATTCAGGCTGTCTGTTTGTGGCTGAGTCAACTCTTGCAAACATCGACTAGATTCCTACAATATTTTCAAACTAGAATTTTTCCCCTACAAAAGACTTACTGGTGCCGAATGAATGGGCATTCGTTCTGCACGCCATCCCTCCTTTTTTAGACTTATTCACCAGGTCTCCAAAGTTCATGTACTGCGACTTTTCCGTTCCCACAAGGTCAAGTAAACAGCGAAATGCTGAAGCGCGTCTCGAGGACAAGCTTTGAAAAGCCTGCTAGCGACTGCTGCCCTTTTCGGATCAATCCTTTCCTTTTTGGAGCAAGCAAGCAAAAGATTATTTTCTTTGGAAAAAGCACCGCACTCTTCTGTGCAGTGTTTCCTAATATAGAGCGTTCAGTCTCTTACGTATCTTATTCTGAGCTTTTTTGTCTGATTGATTCAACAGGGTAGTTTGACAAGTTTTGCAAACTTAGCTTTGCTACTTCTTGAGATCCGTGGTTTACAGCAGCAGTCAGCGGTGAAACCAATTAAGCCGGGTGTTTTTGTTATGAATTGTTGAATGGTGAAATAATGGCTTTTGTGACAATCAACATCAGCAATGGCAACAAAACGCCTTTCCGCTCACATGAAGGCTTGTCCAGAACTTTCCCTCGAAGTAATTCTCCCTTTATATTAGATTGGAATATAAGTCTTGTACCAAAATTTTTGAAAATTTTCGTAATTTCCTCCAGGGTTCAGAAAATGCTAGAATTACTTTTTGAGTTTCATAATCCACGCTTTCCAAATGGGTACATTTATGCTGATAAACGTCTCTACAAGAAGTTGTAATTTTCAAATTTTTATTTTTGAGTTTTGATGCTGCTTGATATAAAATCTCTAGTATATACGAATAAAATACCGTATAAATCATACATAATAATAAAAATATGCAGATGTTGCTTTAAGCATTTTCAAAGGTGTTTTTTTTCTTGGATTTTCTGTGGCAAGGCTTTCTTTCAACCCAAGATGTTTAGCCTCCGCCAGTGTACACATATTTGTTGTTTTAATGAATGTACTACTTGTCACAACTGCAAGAATAGACTCGCCGACTACTATGGGCGGCGTTTCGGCTGTCCGTAGCAGCTCCGTGAGCCTCCGCTGACCTCCCGACCTGCCATCTGTCCTCTATTTGGACGTTGAGGCTGAAAGTATTGATTCGCGCTAGGGCGAGCAATTCTCTCCTCGTTGTGGAGTGTGTATCGAATATGGCTGTAGAGCTGCATCCGCTAGTTGCATTGAGTTACTGCTCTTACTACTGGAGATATTCTTTTATTGCTTTTTCGCGGGATTGGCCTTTTTTTCTCTAGAAGAGGTGAATGATTGTGACTGAAGTTCTTCTCGAAAGTTCTACCTCATACTTCTTCTCGTTTTCTGGCTAATCCGTTATGTTTTCGATTGCAGCTCGCCTAGTCAGTTGAACGCAGGGCCGCGATGAGCTGCCGTATCTAGGCGATAGAGCCGCATGTTTTCGCCTTCTCCCCCTCCTTATACACACAAAGCTGTTTAGCTGAAAGTTATTATGAGAAAAGTATCGTGTTGAGCGCCAACACCACCACCCTCAAATCCGCGCTCCCCTTTTCCTCCCACCATCCTGTTTCACATTCATTCGTAAAAATCGACTCTTCGTGGTGTTGATGAGCGGCTCGTTGCAATTAGGGTTACGCGAGGTCAGCGGCGAACGGGGAAGAATGGACGCGGACGCACGGACGGACGGATGAGAATTGAGCGCCGCCGCGCGCACGATGTGCGCAACTGGCATGCTACGCTCATGCGCGCAGTGTTCGCGATGCGCGCGTTTGCGTTCACCCGGCGGACTCGACGACGCGCAAATGGGTTGATCGATAAGCTGGTCAGTGCGGAGACGTCTTCAGACTCGCTTCTGCGTAGATGGAATAGCAATTTGTCGTCTCATTTTTATTTACTGGATGTGGCTCGAAATAGAGTCAACTATTTGTAGTTACATCTGTCAAATTCAAACTCTGTTTATACTCAACCTTGGCTATAAACTCCGCCGTTTCCTTCTATAGCATGCTAAATCCGATGAACTCTGCCAGCTCTCGGCGTTATATGGTACCTATTTTTACTTTTATTCGCTTGCAATCTCATACCTTTTATTCATATCGCATTCTAGTTAGTCACTCTAAACGCATTCACCAACAGGTTTCAATATTTCACGCGTATTCTTGCCTTTTCCCCTATCTCTTCATGTACAGAGACGATTTTTGATTCGTCCAAGCCTCACTGTGCGAGTTCTGTACTATGAAACTACTCTTGTCCCTCAACCAGTCCTTGTGATTGCTCAGACAATCCAAAAAAAGCAGCGGACATAGAAGCCGTCTTATATTGTAGTACATGATTGTTTTCTTTGTGTTGCTATGGTTTTAACTCAATGTCGATGTGACAATCAGCAAGTTTACTTAACGACATATGAAAATGTTGTCGCGTTTTATAGAAGTTCCTTATTTGAGCGACTTGAAGATGGTCCTGTTTTATCCATGGTTTAGTTGAACGACCTTTCTCTAATTCAAACGATTTCATCCTGAATTCATTTTCCATCCTTATCCTTGATTCCTCCGATATTATGTCTAGCTACCAGCAGCTTTATAAATCCTAGCCTTAACCGGAAAGTTCTAATTAGTACCAAAAATTTCGAGTGCGCACTTTTGGTGGAAATCTTGTTGATATTAGAGTGAATCTTCTTGAGGAAACGAGATCCAGATCTGCTTTACTTTCCATTTGCGTAGTCGAACTATCTCTGCTTTCGATTGCGCTTTACACTATCCGACCAATCGTAAATATGTTCTTCTTTTCTCATCATTTTTCGTTTTCTTCATTCTCTCAAAAATTGCATAAATAACATTGGTTTTTTGCCTTAAAAAATGTAATAGAAAAAGGCGGCCAGCATAAGCTTTACTGCAAAGAATTGCTAATGAAAATGTACGATGCCTTTGCTTCCATGAATCTTCTCATTGTCCTCTGACTGCAATAAAAAACGTTGGAAAGGTTGAATTATGGATCCACATTCATCCACCGTGCGCGAATTTGAAGGTCGCTGACCTTCCGCTCGACTCCACTTCGGCCCGTCTACCGCTTGCGAAACCATATGCTTTAGATTCTGTTAGTTTGATTTGGGTAGAGGAACAAATAACTTAATTAGGTACTGCCTCTTCGGATTGCTGGTCCTTTCGTCCTAGTATTGTACTTCTTGCTAGGACCAGTAGTCCGCAGAGGTGGTGCCTAATCGAGATGTTCATCCTGTACCCGTTTAATCTAAGTAGTTTTATACAATCTGCTAGCTCTTGCTGTGAATTAGGCGTATACTTTTTTCCTATTTTTCTTAGCAACCAATTTGTGAGATGTTTTTCTGCGCTTGGATTTTGCCGGCAAGCTGGATGCGTGTCATGTCAGCTTTCCATATCCCTCATCATGTATTTTTCAGCCAATTACTCCTACGCTCCTCCACACGGCTCAATTCTTCGCTCATCTAAAACGATGATCGACGTACTGGCTCCCATAAGGCCGAACGCCGCCGATGGTACAGCCGCAAATCTACCCTCCACAGCCAGCAGTAGTGCAATTGGTACGTATGCAGCTTATTCTTTTCGCCTTGTGTGTTGTGCGCAAAAGGAAATGTTTCGTGAATTCTTCGCAGTCATTCCATCACTTTCGCCATAAACTGCTTGTGTTCACGACTGCCGTCGTGTCCATTGAGCTGCGTTCGTATCCAGCTTGTTTTCAGCTTGATTTCCCACCATAGCCTTTTGGATATGTATCCTTGGATTTGAGAAGCATACATCTACATTCATTTTCTCATATGTTGTAACTAACATAAGCTTCATGCACAGTAGACGGGGAGAAACGGACGTAATCGGCTGTTTTGTAATTTAACTGCATGCTCAAATTTACCTCTTTTTTACCTATCTACATCTGAGAGGAAGTGCTTGTTAGTTTTGAAATCCTAAAACTACTTTTCATGAGATTTCTCTTGAAGCAAAAAAATTTAATGAGATGCTCGACATGCTTAGCGATCATAATGGCTCTACTCGAATAATTTCCCAATTTTCATTTTTTTTTTCTTGCGATATCGCCCATGGACGCAGAAGTTCCATTTTAGAATTGCGCCTCCATCGTTTTCCCCTCACGAATGGTGGATTCTCGTTTTTGTTGTGTTGCTTTCTTCGGGCTTGTAGAAAAAAATCAAGTTTTTTTTGGGCGTAGCAACGAAAGCGGAGCAAAAGCCTGGCTCTGCGTTATTGATAGAGCAGGGTTTTAACGGAGCTGAAAGGGCTTAAAAAGGTATATTTAAGCCATATGCTCTGTGCTGCTTTAGTTGGCGCATTGTACTTTTTTTCATTGCATTGTGATTTTTTGTATGATAGTAGCGCTTAATGGGTGATGTATGACGCAAAACAGAAGTTAGTGTAGAGTGCGAAAGAGTGGGTAAAGGGTGATTGCTGTTAATTAGACCGCGTTGAATGAATGAATTTAATTTATTGTAGATTTGGTATTTTGCCTGCGGCTAATTTTGTTGTCACTCTTGGAAAGTTGGAGATTTTTTTGTTGTCGTTTTGATTGAATATGGGGTTGAACAGGAAGGGATTGCTAGATCTACCCAAGGAAAAGACCTTTAATTAGAGCGGAATTATTCGATTATTGGATTAGGGCAGCTACTATGCATTGATACAAAATTGACAAGTAATGGGTTCTTACTGGAGACATCATATCTAGCGTTCGCCTATAATTCTGTAAACCTTACAGTTACTTAGTCTTTCAAAAATGATGTCCCGCTTTTTTGACCTAGCCAGACCTACCCCGGGCAAAACCGCTAGTTTCACCAAAAAGTGGCTACCGTCTTCCGGTCCAGCAGCGAAGCAGTTGAAAAGGCTGGCAGCTTGGCAAGCATTGCTGGAAATAGGCGGGCGGGCAGTCAGTCACTCAGCCAGTCACTCAGCCGGCCAGCCTCGGCCGTCGGCCATTAACCGGCGTCCGTCCGCCGCCCGCCCCAATTCTACCAACACGCTAGCCACAGCTATCGCAGTATCGGCTCCGTCGCTTCGTGGCTTTCGTCGTCTCGTCGTCGCACACACCCATCAGAACGCTTGAGAAAGCTCGGCTGCAGCTGAAGTGCTGTTCTAGCTGTTATCGCTCATTAATCATCCCTGGCGAGTTGGCCGCGCGACTTTTTCGCCGGTACCCCGCGCAATCCGCGATGCGCCGAAAAGCCGGAAATGTATACGAGTGTATATGAATTGAGAGGTAAGCTGCCGAGACTAGCGCAATAAATATTAGTTTATGCGATGATTTCCTCTCCCTCTTTGTCTTTCATAGATTGTTTTTACGAATTCCATGAAATGAATGAGGTTGAAAGATGGGATTGTGTACCGCAGCTGCAGTGTCCTGAAAGGTCATGCAAGTAAACGTCAACGTTGGGATTTCCGATAGCGATCGCGTCTGGCACAATATGAGCATGCAAAACACATTAAATCATGTGGTCAACGGCTTAACGTCACCCTCCCCATCTGAAAACAATTTTCATATTTGGGAAGCCTAGTGACTTCCGTGATTATGGGTATGACGATTTTCTTTTTTTGCATTCTGCGTGAGGATTATGGTATTATTTGTGGTTCATAGTGATTAGTTTCTCCATGACACCATTTTTTGCACTTCAGTCACGATTTTTGGCTGATAGAACAGTAAAAATAGGGCAGTGATCATAGCGATTTCTCGTGCACTGGCACGTGCCGGTTGTGGTTCTTTTCCTCATTGAATAACAAAAGAGATGTCATAGATAACATTTCCATATTCGACAGTTTTCTAGTGGAGATTGATGGTGTCACATAAGAACTGTTACTTTCATGCTACCATAATCAGACCTGCTTTTGTGTTGTAGCTGAGTGCGTTGGTGGAAAACACTCCTAAAAATTGAGGGCATTGTCTAAACTCCTGACAACTCGTCATTTTTCGACATAACAAGCGTTGGTGGTTACGCTTTGGTTAAACAAAAGCACTTTTTGGTAGTTGGGAGTTGAAATTCTTCAGAGAAATGTCAAGCTGAGTGAAGATTTTGAAGACGAGGAAAGGCTTTGAATAGCAAATCTCATTCATTACCGCATCTTCAGCGTTTTTCTGCGCCTTTGCCTATAGTAGCTCATTATCCACCCTTGACTTTTTTTCTCTCTTTTGTGAACGGCAATTTACTATCGCGCTTAGGAAAATGTCCGTAGCCTTGCAATCGCAGTATGTGTACAGTATCTCAATGCTATTCGCAAGAGGAAATGAACGTCTGTTTTGCGTGACCATTGGTTATTCCATAGATGGGAATTTGGAAAAGGCACTGCTGAACATGTACATCATATGGGGGCCAAAGTAGTCATTATGTGGGGGATCCTATGGCATTTGCTCAATTGTTTTCTTCTGGAGTGGACTAGGGGAATAGGGTGTATGCCAAGATGAACGATAGCTAGAAGTAAGCATCCGTGTGGTTGTCAATGTAGCGCGTATAAAATATTTTTTCTTTCGCAGTATGTTCCTTACTGGACTGAAAATGTTGGCAGTAAGAATTAGGGCAAATGCACCAAGGTTTTTTTTCCAAAATCCTACATGTCATCATAGTGTAAATCATGTTGGCTGTCCTCCGGAGAAGAGACCCCGCCATTTTGACCTCTTTCGCGGACAACTGGTCCTCAAGCGACATGCCACAGTACCGCAAAAGGACCAGTTGACCGGTTGACCCAAGCGGTCCAAAATGGCAGAGTTCGCTCCTCTACTCCTTCTTTTTCTTCTGCTGTACACAACTTAGATTCTGTGTGTTAGTATCTAACAAGCGCGCATTGGTCGGTGTGCCTAATCCGAAGCGCATCGTTATGGATTGCCCCACGCACACACACACGCTCCCGACGCCATCCTCTTCTCATTTCGAGCAGCCTCGTGAGACTGCTTGGGACCATTCATCTGTACGCACGCTTCGCGCTCCCCCTACTAGTGTGTTTGCTTTGGATCTCTACCCCATTGGGCTGTGAAAACTATTCTGCTGAGTAGTGGTTGTTGTTATGCGCTGCGCTGATTTGTGTGAGAAGAGTTGAGTGCTAAAGAGACGCGCCGTGAAGGAGATTCGCTATAAATAAGTGGCTGTTACTGCTGCAAAGGAAGGATTGATTGTGAAGTGACGACGATCTATTTTTCTTTTGCTACACACTTGACCTCTTAGCCTTGTAAGCAGCATCAAAGTCCGCTTTTTTACACAGCCGCTTCTTATAGGATCATCAGTGTCGACGTCGTCGGGAGGAGCGGCGTCCATAGGCGCGAAGCACTTGTCCGCTAGCGTCTCCGCTCTGAGTACGTTACCCGATCAACGACATAAGATGACCAAAAGCCCCAGTGATGAATCACTACGGTGAGCAGAGCTTATATATACCTCTTCTGGGGCAGTATTTACCAGTCTCTCACTCTCTGATAGGGCGCTTTTTCGACTTATAAACGAACGCCCGATCGGGTGGTGGGCGCTCGTTTATAACGGTAAGGGAAACGTCCAATCGAGATCAGGAGATTGATAGATACCGCCCTTGACATTGAATTAGTGAGTGCTTTTGCTAGCTGACCGCGGCTTGCAATAGAATAAATCTGTTGATTCGAAGAAAAGCCGGCCATTGTGGCCTCGATTACGATATATAAATGCATGAATGAGCCTTTTACACAACAAAAAGGGTTGTTTTCCAGATCACATACATCTTCATCAGGTGGTAGCAATGGTGGTCATAACTCCAATAGTACTGGAAATAACTCGTCCGGAGGCGGAAACAAGGTTCGTCTGCTCAATTTGAGTTATCTGCCCGAATAGCGAAAGTACGAAACTGAGTCAGTGACTCTCTGATGCTGAATCCGTTCTAATTGTTCTTTGCCCATCTTGCACTTTTACGTTCAATGTTGCCTAGAAATCTGATTTCCTTGCACTAATTTCCGATTTCGCGTCCGTCGCTAGGGTGCAGAAATCTTTCTGTTCACTTATTCTGAGGGAATCCTGAGTTGAGGTAAAACAACAGTAAAACAGCGAATTTTAGGGCTTCCGACCGGAAGACGCCATCCAAACATTTGGAGCCAAGTTATTACCGTATGAACAAAGCGAAATTTTTAACTACGTCCGCGTTTTCTTCGTTGGTTCACAAGCGAAAAAACGTGGTGGCGTTATTGGTGAGCCATCCTGTCATTTTCTTTTTTCGTTCAGCAGTTTTTCACCCGCTTTGCCGTGGTGGTTTCCATGGCAACGGAATATGCCTTACAATCTGTTATTTTACACTAATAGCGACCCATTTAGGAGGACCCAATAACTGCGGGTACGATGATGAAAATGGCAGTTATCAATTGGTAGCTCACGATCATATAGCATATCGATATGAAATCCTCAAAGTCATTGGGAAGGGCTCATTTGGCCAGGTTTGTTGTTTTTTTCTTTGCATTTCCGTTGTCGTATTTTTGAATTGTGAACTTCAACTTGACCAATCCACTCGGATTTCCTTCAAAAGGCGCTTTTGCTTGCTTCATTAGGTCTGCGCCTTGGCAGTAGATGTTTTCCTCTTCGTCGCTTTCCGTTCTCGTGCCGGCTTTGGCGCTTGTTGCTTACGTACATTCGACAGCGTTGATTATGTTATGGTGTGTCACCATGGCGAAGAATCGATTCGCTGGGCCTTCTGAGAAGGTTGGGGCCTCTGTACTGGACGTGTAAATGCCACTTGCCCACCCCGAACTGTTCCCAATTATCATTCGGCTGAGGACGGAGCTAGTTAGCGTCGGCAAACTGCACTTAGCGCTCAGAGAAACATATCACTTTGTTTGCCAACGGTGAAAGTGAGGGATTTCAAAGAAAAATCAGCCGAAAGATTAAAAGAACTTGCGAAACAAGTCTTTGTTTCTAAGAAGCTTCCTTGGTGATTGTTGCGATTCTTTCGACAGGAATTAGACGAATATCAAGAAATTGGACTACTTAGATTATTGCTTACAGGTACCGCAGATAGTTAGCGTTTGCCTGTTGTGCCATTTTGACAATCAGCATTTATACGAGGGCGCCAAAGTAATTGTCATCAACTATGGGGGGGGGGGGGTATAATCCCTCATATATGAAAAAAGGGGTGAAATAGTGCTGTTCTTTAATTGGGGAGCAACTCTACGAAGCAAATCTATAGAAAGAAATAACAATAGACTCAAAGGTAAAGGTCCTATAAAGCGCAAAAATCCAGTTCTGTACATTTTTTCTCTAACGTAGGTTATTTTTGTTGTTTTTTTCTGCTAACCCCAAATTCTTTCTGAAACCCAAATGTGTTTGAAATATAGAAGACGCTTTACACTACCATTGTAGTAGTTATTTACGACAAATGTGTTTTGTTTTATCGAAATGCGGAAAACTTGCTTGCCATTGTTACCTGCATGGTTAGTGATTTTGCCTTTGAATTTTTTTTATAGCCACAGGGCAGCGATCAGTTAATCAAAATATATAACTTTATCTAAGTGAGCATCTGTTTATTCTTTCGATGCAATTTGGTCGACGTTTTGTGCTTATGCCTAATGTTTAATTCCAGTAAGTTTTGTGGTGAATTTCTTTCTTTACTTTCATCCATAATAGAATACTGCTAGTATTGCTCGAAACTTCCTTTAACTCCCTACAAATTCATTATAGATGCAATCTCTTGAAAAAGATCCCCCCGCTAGTTTTGTAGTCCTAAAAGTTAGTATCACTCCTGCAGCGAAGCGAATTTTTTCATATTCTCCCCAGGCATAACGTCCGAAATTTTGAATGGGTGTAATCAAGCAGACGAAATCGTGCTTGATCTCTCGATGTTCTCATCCTAAAAGCATTTGGCATCATAGAATCGACGCTAGGTAAAAAATAACTGTGGTATGCCGACGAGATAAGAAGCTGTCAGCTGAAATAAGGATTTCGTCTATTTTTGGTCGGTCACCCCGCTTGTCATTAGTTCTCCAGTTTACTTTGTAAGGTGCTTAGATTTCCCAAACCTGTCATCTGTAGTTTAGTCGTAAAAAATGAGTGTTTTTTCCAATCTACTTATCGGCTTACCGTCCTGGTTACGGATGCGGAGTGTTCATTCACGCTGACGCCTCGAACAACAGCATCTCGCACGAGGCTGTCTGAACAGCATAAGTAAACACTTAAAAACGTGCTCCAACCGGGACTCTGATGCGTCCCGTGCCTGGCTGGCTCAAAATCTCATCTGCATCGGACACTAGTCAATTCCATGTAAAGTGTATGCCCTAATCTGTCTGTCTTGCGAGACTGGTGAACACTGCACGAGGGGTTTTCATGAACTGGATGAGAAAAAATTTATTGAGTAAAATCTGCATTAGTGTTCGAACTCACCAAGTATATAATTAAAATTACACTAGGTTGTTACATAAGTTTTGTTATATTTGACTAAGAAAAATCTCTGAGCTTTCATAAGAATCCTTCTCCCCTCTCCAAATCATGCGAAAACGTTATGGGTTTTCGATTTAGACATGTCACACTTAAAAATACAATCGTGATATTTTTGCAATTTTTGCGATATATTTTGTTCAACTAACATTATTGAAGAGCGCTATCATCCGCTATCTGATTACTACTGATGCTCCAGGAATTCCATGAAAATTTCAAAAAAAACGAAAAGAAAGAATTTTCAAAAACCAACGAAAAATGGGGTTTCAGTGCTGTTGGAAAATCATCTATATTTACTCAACTCCCGTGAAGGCGAAAATGATACCAAGATCCTTCATGCCTTTCGCATCCATGCCAAATTTGAGACTTTGCCAAATATTCTAGTTTTTTAGAGGAAGGCGGGGAAAGTGTAACAAAACTTATGTAACAACCAAAAATTTGTATTTGATCTCCTAGTATATCCATTTGAATCAATTTCGAGAACAACTTTGCTTCAAATAGTTCCTTTGTTTCTCTAATCTCTTTGTGAACACCTGGCGCATAATAAGGTTATGAGAAAAGAAATAATTTTGAAACTTTTATGGACCCTCAACAATCAAAGACATCCTACTCCATATTCAGACGCTAGCGGCAATACAAAAGATAAGCAGAAAGAAGGGACGCATCAAAAAAGGGCTTTGAGATTAACGTTACCCGTCAAGGGCGCATTATGCTAATTTGCCGACAAATGGACCGTTCCAATGCTAATAGTGCAAGACAATGAGCTATAGCATTCATTCAAAATGTATTTTTTACAAAAAATGTCAAATATTCTAGGTCATAAAAGCGTACGATCACAAATACCAACAATATGTGGCGTTGAAACTGGTACGCAATGAGAAACGTTTTCATCGACAAGCCGATGAAGAGATTAGGATTTTGGTAAGAAAGTTGTAAATCTGCACCTATCTCGCGAAAAAATTGTTCTTTAGGATCATTTGCGTCGCCAGGATACAGATGGATCGCATAACATCATACATATGTTAGATTACTTCAATTTCCGAAACCACAAATGCATCACTTTTGAGCTGCTTAACATCAACTTGTACGAGCTTATCAAAAAGAACAAATTCCAAGGATTTAGCCTCATGGTGGGTAGATTTGTAGCGATGACATTGCTATCATCGTGTGATTTTTCCCCTTCTGTTACAGTTGGTACGTAAATTTGCGTACTCTATGCTCCTGTGTCTGGATTTGTTGCAAAGGAATCGATTAATCCATTGTGACTTAAAACCGGAAAATGTTCTTTTGAAACAACAAGGACGAAGTGGTATCAAAGTAAGTCGCATCCATATTTTGACTTCGTGACTTTTTTGCCATTCTAAAAAGCTTGGGCTCAGCTATAAATCTTTTGAAAGGGTAGTTTCGAGCAATTGCCTTTTTCGACGTGCAACGGCGCATCTCTTTAGCAACCGCTGGATTTGCCAGTATTAATAGGGCAAACCAGGGCTGGATGTACCGTTTCATTGTCGTTTCAATAGTATTAAACAAACTATGTGAATATACTAAATTTGTTGTTAGATTTCTAGATAGACAACGGGCTAAAATTAGAATTGAGCAAATTTACATCTGTAGTTTTGTAAAAGTTAAATTTTAGGTCATCGATTTTGGATCATCGTGTTTTGACGATCAGCGCATCTATACCTATATCCAATCACGGTTTTATAGAGCACCGGAAGGTACGACCTGAAAAATTCTTGGTATTTGTTCCATGTATTATCATGCTTCCCATTTTTACAGTGATTCTTGGTTCCAAGTATGGAATGCCGATCGATATGTGGTCTCTCGGTTGTATTCTAGCCGAGCTCCTAACTGGATATCCGCTCCTCCCTGGTGAGGACGAAAATGATCAGGTTAGTGCCATTGTTGTTGATTGCTAAATTGTTCGAAACTGCGTTGCTAGCCTTGATGAAATCCACTTTTTTAGCTTGCCCTAATTATCGAATTGCTAGGAATGCCACCAAACAAAGTTTTGGAAAATGCCAAACGGGCACGCACATTCATATCATCCAAGGTTGGTTTGATTTTTGATTCTTGGATTTTGGCTCAGTTCACATCTTGTTTGGTTTGTGTTTACCATAGTATTTTTCTAGGGATATCCTCGTTACTGCACCGCATCTGTTATGCCAGATGGCTCCGTTGTATTAAGTGGAGCACGAAGCAAACGAGGGAAGATGCGCGGTCCACCAGGCAGTCGAAGTTGGAATACTGCTCTCAAAAATATGGTAATTTATTTTTGATCTGGAAAAAACTTGAAGTTCTCTGCTATTGGCAGTATAACGCAGCTTATCGCATATGCCATGTCATCGCTTTATTGGCGTTTTTATAGGTTTTGCAGATTTTTGCAAAATCGCGAAATCTGATTGGAGGGAATTTTTTTCATCAGACGGCTTTTAATATTAGCAGCGTGCTGCTCTCATCTTTTTGATATGATGAGCACATTCATCGCCTGAACTTGATCAAATCATTACGTAAACAGAGTTTGGCACGAGGCTTTCCTAAAAAAAAGCAAATCTCACTTGACTTTCGCAAAATTTTACGAAGTTCCCTTTGAACCTAAACCATAAAGTAAAATCTGTCAAAAACGAAACAGCGACTAAAAAAGGCGTAACTTAATTTTCGGCCACAAAAACGATATTCCTTTGCTTTTTGTCCCGAAAACGCTATACAGCTTGCTTACAAGCCACCTGTGCCAAGCCCTGTTCGTAAATCTCATAAAATTTCTTTTCTGTCAACAAGCTACAATTTTTCTCATGCCTCGTCGCATCTATTACGACCTCGCACTCTTTTTTTCGCATTGGTCGAAGAAGGTATTTTTCTCTTTTTTTGAAAATGGAATCATGCTTGAGCACCTCTGAAATCAGAGTTTAAATGTTTAATCAGCCGTAAAATTGTCATGATTTTTCTTCACTGAAATTGCTAGTCATGGAGTCTATGTGAGCATTAACATATTGACGACCAAATGTCCTACTCGGTGGACACGCATGCTTGCCGCTTGAGACAGTGAGGCATGCGCCCTAGGGACTTTCTCAGAAGTAGAATAGAATTGGATATAGTGTTTCTGTCACAATCTCAAAAGTCATCGCGTTGGAATTGCTGAAGATTGCTCAAAATTTTCACTGACTAAAAATCTGCGCGACTTTCTTTGCGATCAACGAATTGTTATCAATGCCTTTCAACTTTAATGCAGTGTCTGTGTGAGGTCTTCTGAATCGTTGAAAAATTTCCTTGAATTTCATTTATGGGTTTCATCACACAAGTTAAAATGTCTTCTTTAGTGATAAAACTTACTGCTTCTAGTAATACTTCCTTAAAACGAATTGCTCTTTGATTTGTAAGTTTAATGTTTTTTTTTCAGGGCGACGAGCTCTTCATCGATTTCATGAAGCGATGTCTTGACTGGGATCCGGAGACACGAATGACGCCGGCACAGGCGCTGAAGCACCAGTGGCTGCGCCGCCGGCTGCCGTGCCCACCTCGTCGCGACGATGGCGCCGCCGACGCAGAAGGCGTGTAGTATTGCTTATTCGTGCTCCGAATCGCTCTCTGACTATGCCCGTTTTAGGCATAACCACATCCTTGATGACGGGTTCAACTAGTGCTCTTCGCGCTGTTAGTTCTACCAATACTTCATCATTTACACCTCAAAAGTTGGCGCATATTCTGGCATGAGCCACGTCTCATTCGTTTTGGGTCTCTCTCAACCACCAAAGATACTATCGCCCCTCGCGAAGGGTGTTATATGCAAATCAGGTTGTCGACTTGTACCCCTTCCCAGCACCGGCAACGGTGTGCTATCATAAGTGCGCGTTTTTGCGTCGCCGCTTTCTAAGGACAGGTCAGTATGCTTTTTATGCTTGCAATCGAAGCATAATGTCGCGTCCCCTTGCTTTCGGGGCCTCCTATTTATTGCACCCCACACTCTGATTCTCGACGATCGTGCTTTCTTCCCTTTAGTCCCTAATTTCCAATGAGGGTCTACTACAACGGCTCGCGTGTAAATAGTAATACTTATTCTTGTTCTCTGGTCCCTATCTCAGACATGGGTCGAGCATGCATGGGACCAGCGGAGTTGCCCTCGCCCCGGGGTTCGGCTAACACTCCCCCGTCTGCTCTCTGCCCATAGTTCCAAACATTCATATTCTTGTGATTATCGATGCTGTACCCCAATCGCTGGCGAGAAGCTGATCGCCGCTAATGCGAGTTGCAATAACAGTGACGATCCTCCGTTCTTCTTCTTCTTCATTTCGTAGGTCATGTTTTTTCTGATTGAGCACATCAGTTCTTATCTCGAAATAACACTGCGCAAGTTTTTCTATTGTGATTTTCTGTGTGTGCTGCACCGTAGCTTAGTGCCCCCATAGGTAGGCTAGGCACCATTTCTGTCAGGTAGGAGGGTATTGAGACAAATGTGCTCTATAAAATTTTTCTCTCCAATTTTTTGGATGCAAGGAACTCTCAGTGTGTCTAGTTCCGCATTCTTTTGTGTGTTTTGTTGTAGAGGTCACCCCCTAATACCTTTCATGACACTCGTTATGTATAAAGAAAGTTGTTTCTGAACATTCTCATTATGTCTTTACTTTTCTTTGCACCCGACTTCACTACAGTACGGTAATTATTTTGTTTATTTTTTATTGTGATTTTGTATCAATTTGAGGTGACGCTCTCAGATGTGTGAACATATGTGAATTAAATCTTCAAACTCAGCTTGTTGTTGTACCTCGGTCAAGTGCCAGTTCGCACAAGGTTCAAAGCTATCTTCCGAAATAAAGTAGCTTTTATTGAGAAAAATAAAATAATATAAATAATCTTAAAATACATTTGTGGACTTGGTCTGTCTAACTTTCGAGTCTATCTTCTAGCTGATTGAGCAGAATTTTCTGTAGTCCGTCGTTTTTGCACCGTCATTTCGATACCTCGTTGAGTTTCTGTAGTCTGTATGTCGGCTATCCTTTGACGTCTCAGGGTTCCAAGTTTTGCTTTTGTACGCCATCGAACAATCACCATCAATACAGCGCTTAGGCTTCTGAAAAAATAAATATGTATTAGTCAGATTTTTTCCAGCGCTTTCAACCCGGGGCTCAGCACAGCTGGCACCGGGTTAAGCTGGACATTGTTTTTGGGACAAAAAAGCAAAGGGGTACTGTTTTTCTGGCTGAAAAAAGAAACAAAATTGTGACTTTTCTTTGTTTTCGTTTTTTAGGGTTTTCACGTTTAGGGTTTAGGTCTAAGGGGACTTTGTTTTGGATTTCCCCTGGTGCCAGGTACTGCCAAGCCCTGTTATTAACCAGTTATTCAAGAAATACTGCTGTATTGTTAGATACCCCATGGTCATAATATTAGACATCAAACTATGCAGCAACCTTTTACAAAAGACTGAGAATACTGAAAGGAGTTACCCAAAAAAAGCTTGCCTTACTCTGTAACAAAGGGAAAAATCTCTATTTACAATATGAGCAAAGGAAATTTCTAGAGCGTTTCATTCTTGTGTATATTATGTTTTAAGTGTTTCGCACTTCGTGATGTTTTTTATGCTTTTACGTAGACTTCTCCTTTTATAAAGTGTGCAGTTGGCGTTTAAGAAAAAAGGAATACTTTATAAGTACGTAATAAGTTAGCATTTGAAATTTGGAGATTCTTAATCCGAAACAATTCATTCTGTTCCAAGCAGCTCATTGACAGTTAAAAGTACATGCCAGCGTTGAGTTAAAGCTTGTTTAACTTGCAGATTAGCTTGATTGACTATGTGGCAGTCACATGGAACTGAAATTCAAGTCCTAGCGCACTATCGCGCAAGTTTATTCGGTAATAAAACAGTCTGCTCGTCTACTTCTAGAAAAAAATGAAGTCAAAATTAAGTGGCTTTTCTACGTTTGAAAGCAGTGTTCAGTACCCTAAACCGTCATATTTTGGCAGTTAGGAGACACAGAACCCAGGTTCCTTGATGAAAATAACAAAACCCTCAGCATACCAAAATTGGCTCCAAGATTGAACCATGTGTAGGATTAACATCACGCTTTGACTATAGCAGTCGATTATTCGCTATCTGGCTCGTTTGCTCGACAGTTTTCGATTTCTAGAGTCTCGAAGCATGTAAGGATATTATGGAAGTTGAGCCATTATCCAGTAAATTAGATTTTGCAGATTAGCATCATCAGTTTGGCACGGAAGGCCTGTCGCACAATTTTAGAATAATTGCAGCAAGTATACCTAAACGAATTTTCATCTTTTCTATTTTTGTAGAGTAGAACATGAAGCTTGAATTGCTGACTGTTCTGAATTTTGTTGTAACTTTTTCCTTCTTTTTTCTCCACCTTTTTTTCAGTTTTTTTTTTTCAAAATTTGTAACTCTGGGTGGAGACATACTGGCACCATTGATAACTAGGGAACAAGCTAAAAGTATCATAAAAATTTGTGAATGTACTGCATAGTTTCAAATTACTTGCGACTCAATCTAAAAATAAAACCCGAGCAATTTTCTCATTGGCTTCGATTTCCGACACCTGCTCTCACTTAGAAACCATTCAAATGATATTGTAAAATGCATGATTTTCTGCGATAAATAAAATATAATGTACGTATCACCTGGAAGTACCATGGAGATTCTGAATTTTTTTAAAATCAAAATGGAGGACAGGACGTGCACCTAATAATTATGCGGATGCTTTTTCCAAACACTCGGAGTTTTTTTAGCTCCACTTAATGGTCACTTAGAACATCAGCAGTATCTGAGCATTCATTCACTTTCATTCCTTCATTCGTTGATGCACCCGGCACCCGCCGTTCTTTAATGCTTCAATAGTGAGTGCCGGGCACATGTTGACGGATGAGGGACTTAACAGTAATCGAGTAGCTAAATAACATTCGCCTCCGATGCTTGGTATCTTGCATATCAAACAACTCGCCCCATGATTGAAAAATGGGAACAACGTTTTTAAATTACTGATTGTTCAAAAATAAATGATTTTGAACGGAAGGGACTGACTACAATCCGAGAAGTGCTTTGTTGCCTCACAATCGCTTCAAACTCAGTCGGCACGGGGACTTCCGCAGGATAAATAAGATTAACAGGGTTGTACAAGATTTCGTTTACTATCAAAGAAGTGCAAGCGCCCAAAACGGGAATTTTCGCAAGAATTTGGCACCAGAAAACTTCCGCAGCACTTTACACAAAGGGCTGCGGAAAATTGTTCCCTGAATGTCCAGCGGAACTTCCGGTTAACTGTCCGAGAACTTACTCTGCCGTTAGTTTCTTCTCGATTGTATAGGTCATGATGTTCACTCCAGCAAGTCCATGTTCCCTGAGATCAGCACCAAGTTCTTCGTCCAAGCGACTGAGACGCAGACCAATCGGTGAATGTTGGAGCAACTATAACATGAAATATATAACAAACCAAAAAGTCGCATTTTCAATTATGCGAATCGTTCCATATGGTTACATCAATCACTTAGGTCTATAGTATTAAGTTAACACATAAGTCTTGCACCGAAACCTAGAAATTCATAATCTCCTCCAGTCAACGAATTTGTTTGATTTTGGCACATATCAGTTGAAGGATGTCTCGCACTTCCCAATAATAGCAGAAATTTGTTAAAAAATTTTTTGTTGCCAATACGCAAAACACTTTTCAAAATTCGGCTTCTAAAAGTGCTAAAACATTCTATGGAAATTTATTTTTAGCTATATCGGGTTTCCTTACTTAATAGTTCTGGCTAAAAAGAACGTGCTGCACATTTGATTTTGATTCGTACGAAATCTATAATATGCGAACATAATTTATTGCACCGTAAGAGGTAAGTCCAACGATTTTAAACATTTTCAGGACCAGTTTTTGCAAATTTTTCAATGCAGAACTCAAGTATCGACATAACAACACGCGCAAAATCAGGACGAGCAGGAAAAACCTAGTTCCGAAATTCTGAAGCCTTAAACTATTTTTTTCCAAACGGCGCTCAATGCCAGTGAGTCCTGACTCTTTAATTTCCTTGAAAACTTGTCATTGTAAAAGATTGCATTCTTTTGGTTTTCTACATTTTCTCTTGAAAAATGAAAAGGAGTGTTTGTTCGATTTTGCTTTATCTTCAGTGTTCTTTAAATATCAAATGACACCTTGACAACTGCGGTTTTTGGAAAATATAACTTTCTTTCATTTTTGATCTTTTGCACACGACTCTCACACGTTTTTCAGTACTCATGTTTTTGGCTTTTGAGTTCTCATTTTGCCATCATTAATGACGCACGCTAACGTCTCAGACCCACAAATCTTCTCAGGCAAACACGCTTTTTGAACTTTGTGAGCGAAACAATTTCAAAATAGTCTGCCAAGGTATTAATGTATAGTGCTTGGCTTTAATCAGCTCCTTTACGCGCTTGGTTTTCATTCGCATTGCGGGGGACCATATCGTTCTATTTGGGGTAGCGAAATCGCTGACTAAGTTTTTGAAAAATCATCTTCAAGCAATTATTAAATTGCTACATGATCTCACAAACAGAAATCTCGTATTATGAAAGGTATGTAATGGAGCAGAACATTTTTCTAGACATCTTTGAGCAATTCTCTTATACAGGGTGTCCCAAAAAAATGTGAACACTATTTGACTGTTAATAACTCTCTTGTTTTCATGTCTTTCGCCAAGGTTGAGGTGCCATTCTGTAGAGCCAGGATAAACTTAGATTTACAGTATGAAGAGACTTATCAGCCGCTTTTCATTACTGTAGGATTACGGTAGGAACTTCGACAAGGATTTTGGACCATTGTAGGCCATATTCTGTCTTGGAACAAAACCAAACAACCCAAAAACTTCTATACTATGGTAATGGAAGACGCTAATTTTGAATATAAAATTTCCATTTTACTGTGATGCTTCTTTCCAAGGTTATCTTATTTAAACCGTAATAACTGAATTTCTAGCATTTGTCAGAAATGTGACTACACCGTCAAAAAAGCTGAAAACACTCGTAAAAAGTTGTTTATTGGACTCAGCGTGCGCGAAAATCCTAGTACACAAATTTTCAGATTTTTTGAACAAATTTTGTCAAATGGCATATTTTACAATAAATCCACATGCTAGAAGTTCATACCGTAATCCTACAGTAACGAACAGCGATCGGTGGTTCGCTCCATACTACAAATCTAAGTTGAACCTCGCTCCACAGAATGGTGCCTCAAGCTTGGCGAAAGACATGAACACATGGGAGTTATCAACAATCAAACAGTGTTCACATTTTTTTGGGACACCCTGTATAATATGTTTGTCGAGGACATAGACCATATTATACAACCAGTAATATTGAAGGTCGGGTTCCCCACTCCTCCCCCGAACTACAATAAAACAATGTCTCGCTGAAGTAAAAACAGGTTCATTTTCCATGCACGAACGCCAGCACCAAATGGTCAGCTCCAGCGACCACTTGACAACTCTTCAAATATGCGCATACGAAAATATTTATCTGAAACCGGCGAACGAATCAGGTTGGCTTCCGCAGTGAAATCAAAGTAAGCACTCAATGGCCGTTGTTGTTGTTGAACAGCTCGGCGACCCCGTAGGGACCTGGTTTACGTCAAAATTGGCTATTGAAGTGAGCGTCGTCTGGAGAGACGCTGAGGTTCGCCGTTCTGGGGATAATCGAGCTATAAAATTGAGTTATTTACCCGGAGCAGACTTGACATCGTGCTCGATGCGTAGGGGATGTTTTAGTCAACGAGGAAGGAGAGTATGGGATTATTGACTTTGTAAATGCTCTCCATATGTGAACGAATTAAAAATTGGAATTCAAAGATCATAGTTGTAGGAACTCAAAACTGCTTTGATAAACGTGGCGAGATGAGTTCAGGGCTCGGCACTAGGTGGCTTCCCGAAAATGTAAAAATGAAGTCCCTCTGGCTTTAGCAAAATTTTACGAAGTCCCCTTTGACCCTAATATCAAAATCGACTAAAAAACGAAACCTTGACTAAAAGAAACTAATGTCGAACCCACAAAAACAAAGTACCCTTTGCTTTTTGTCCCAAAAACGATATCCGGCTAGCCACCTGTGCCGAGCCGGGATGATCTACAAGGAAATCATGACTTATTCCGTCGAATTCCACCCAAACCGCGTCTGATGTACATCTTAGAGCTCTGAAGGTTAATTTTGGTCGAAATTAAATTTTTCAAAAACTAAAGTTTTTGGAAGGTGCTTTTGACGAGCAAAAACAGAAAGAATGTATTATTTTTTATGGTTTTCCTACATGTAAACTGTATGATAGTGGAAAATGTGTAATGAAGTGATAGAATTGCCTTTCATCGATTTCTCATGATGTCCAAATTGTTTTCTTTCAGCCAAAGCCGAGATTTTTGCGCCGTCTTCCATTCCCTAAATCGACAATCACGCCGCTTTTATGACCAAATCAAACTGCCGAGCGAGTCAGTTTTGACTGGTCGAAGCGACGAAATTGGAGGGGACGGCGGAAAAACCTTGCTTCTACTACTTTTTCTCCTGAAAAAATTAGCCAAAGCAGTCAAGCATCGAATTTTTAAGACTGCACAAAGCTGTGCTTGGGTCAACTGATCATTTTGGTTACTGCTTTCAATCGGGGTTGTCGTAGATATTTCAAAGATGGCAAAGGTTAACTTCATTCAAACTACATTCGCTAGAAACGAATTTTACCTATTTTCGATGAGTAATTTTTAGGATCTGAGTGTTATTATACAACTAAAGGAGGCGTTACTGCTGCTCACGGATATACATATTAAGTCGAAGCATAAAAGCAATAGAATATTATGTTACCTCTGCTCAAACTTCTTGACCAGTGTAATTAGCTATGCAGTTTTTTTGGTTCATATCAATGCTCCAGTATATTTTCAGTTCAGGCAGTTAAAACGTTTACTTTCTTTTTGGGTGATGAACAACTGTTAAGATTGCGACAAAATTATTGGATTATTTTTGAAATACGCCACTATCTGATAAATATGGGAAATTCTACTGCCAATAAAAGAGAAATGGTCTAAGCGACCATAGCATATGGCTTTTGGCAATGCAGTCAATTTTTGCTGAAAAGAATACTTTTAAGTTCAGGTTATTTACAGAAATTTTCGTCTCATTTCATCTACATAAGCTATCCATATCATCTACACTCAGTCAAAATAATTCAAAACAACCTGTACATTTTCAGAAAATAAATGAAGAATGCTTTAGACAATCTCGGCACAGATGGCTTGTGAGTAAGCTGGACATTGCTTTTGGGACAAGAAGCGAAGTGGGTATCGTTTTTTCAAGCCAAAAGGACAAAAAATGCGAAGTTTTTTCAAAGTCAACGTTTCGTTTTTGATGGTTTTCCAACGTTTAGGGTTTACAGTCAAAGAGGACTTCGTGAAAATGAGCGAAAGTCAAATGGAATCGTTTTTTGCATTTTCCAAAAGCCACCTCATGCCGAGCCCTGGCTATAGACATGTGGGTAAAGGGTATGGTTTTCATACATATCATAGCCTTAAACTTTTAACGATCCCAGTGCCACGTGTATCATAATCATAAAAACAGCTGATACTAGCTACCTTGATTTTTTGCATTATATTATTGTAAACGCTTCATAACGATAAGATCCCTATTCAGGTCCCAAGCTAAGAAAGAACTGCTTGAATATCTCAGTGCTAAATCTTCAGTTTTCTTATATCTGCGGAGATATTGTTCTGAAACAGTTTACATTTTCGTTGGACTAAAACCTGGCGTCCGCCTCCTCTCCTTTTCATGTCCTCTCTAAATTCTCTGCTGAGTTATGCTTATCTAGGAAAACATCAGCAACTACCTTTGGCCTTAATGTTTTCACGAGTGAGGCGATGTGTGAAAACCTAGTTGCCACCTGACCGCGGTAACACGTGCCGATTTTGCAAATCCTCATACGCAGATTTGCGAATAAAGAAATTTGCGAAAAAGTGACGGTCGCGAGACGCCTCACTGCTTGCTGGCGAACGAGAAAAACGTTTTCTGTCCGTCGTCAAGGATGCAGGAGAGCGTCGAGGTACTGGTTGAATCAAAATGAAGGGGATTAGGGAAAGCGACATGATGGAGAGTTGAAGAATAAAAATGGATAAACGGGGTTGAAGAGGGTAGTCAAGAAGATTATCACATGAGAATGACATCACTTACATAGATGTTGAGTGATAAACTATCAGGTGGTTGCAGAACTTCCAACTAGAGTGGAAGAGGGGAAAAGTTTTATGGAAGCAGAGTACCCAGCCATGCCCTTCAAAAATTGTATGGTAGGTTTTTCGATTTTTGGAAGGCCCGAAAAGTTCCTCAAAAAGCCTAATAATGCTTAGAAAACTTACAAAACTTATGTTAAACATCTGCAAGCAAAAACACGTTGCTCGCGCATCGTTTATGGAAGCGTGATTAGCTACAAACCGATGCTACCCTCTCCCTCCTCCCCCCACCTTTATTCTAAATTTTCAAAGTTACGAGCTCGCAAAAATCTGAAGCATCTCAAGCTTTTTTTCGGAGAGACACGTTACATTATATAATTTGCTACCGCCTTCGCCCTCTCTTCTCCTCCCTCCCCTCCCCCCCCCCCCCCCCCCTCCTCCCCTTACATCCTCCTATCCCAGAAAAGCTTATTTGCGAAGGCCACAGCCCATTAGAGGTTGTACATCCGACATTTCGCTGAAGTGCTAGAAAATCGTAATCTGCCAACAAGAATGTCGGGAAACCAATTTTTTTTTCTGATCGCGACAACTTTTGAAATTCAAGTACGCTTTAGCGGTTACTTGCTACCACACCTCCTCAAAATTTCGTGGCTCAATGTCCCCTCCCTCCCCCTCTACCTTCTCCTCCAATTAGTGGCTTAACAGTACGAGATCCGCCCAAAAGTCTTAATTGCGCCCCATGAATCCCTTTGTAAAGGATAAGGTATTAATTCGCCAGATTCAAACAAATGTAGAAATGTCTTCATGACACAAGTTTGTTAGGCACTCCAGTAAGGTTGGTCACGCGTTTCATATTGAATTCGTTTAATTATTTTTCGTGTGCATGCAAGCCACTCATAGCTATGAACTCAGTAAACCATTGTCATATGGATTGGTTGAGAACTAGTTACTTACGCTGGAGTTTGTGTTTAACTTGTCGAATTCAAAGATGGCGATTATTCATCTGAATTTATGGTTCTGAGAGATCAAATGCAAACGCCCGCAGGCTACGAGAAACCATTCCATAATCTTGCTTTGTTTTGAAATATTTATCATATGAGTAAGAAAGGTGCTTCTATTGCTCGACCAGGGAATCTTCTCATGTATTGGCTACCCTCAAAAGATTCGCTAGCAATACAGTAGTCGACGGCTAAATTGCAACAAACAAATCAACTACTGTATCTACATATTACGATGTTCAAATGTTCATCCTACGCTTACCGTATAGCACAGACTAACATACAATACGCCAGAATGTCGCTTTTGTTATTTCATTTCGGAGAACCAGGCACCGTCCACCCAGGTTCCCGACTTCCACGTTTTTATCCTTCTGGGGCCTTCTCATGTTTCTGATATCCCGAATATGCTGTTGAGAATCTGCGAAAACCCCGACGAATCCCGTTCCGAAGAGTCCGTGAGGATTATAGGGGTGAAAGGTGATTTGTTGGGCAGATACGGAAGGGCGGGCACGTGTCCTCTTTATCGGTAGCGACTTTCTCCTTCCAAAGCGACATTTTGCGCCGCAACTCGGGCATAGGCTTGAATAGGGGGCCGTACTAATGTATGATGTCAAAAGCTCAAAACGGTTCCTTCAACGGGATCCACAGCGGTGCGAAGACGAGTCACGTATTTTATTTTCGTGACTATGGTTTTTTTTGTTTTTTGGTTCATGTAAATCAGTTTAAACTTCCTTTCCAAAAAGTCAAATTGTCAGAATTTCACGTGCAAGATGTTCCGCTTCTATCCTTGAATTTAGCGTAAAACTCATGTATTTTCAAACTGAACCGACCCGGATATCATAGTTGGCAAGTAACGAAGTGTTTCCGTCTCGCAAAGTTTCCATTTGAAGAATAATCTCATTTCGGAGTCACATGTATTACTTTTGTTCCGGAAATGGACACCAGCCATGACCTTCGCTTTTCATGCCCCACTTCACTTCAAAACGTTTTCACGCAACACAGTAAATGGATACCAGTAAACGAGGTCATGCTGTACAAGAACGAGTAATCGAGTGCACTTCAATGCAAAGTCTGGCGAGTCGAAGTCTTTTGCAAAACTCACATAAAGAATGGCGAAGGCGCAAAATCCGCTGAAAAACGTTATGGCCGTGAGGGCAGCCAACTGATAGAGAAGAAGAGTCAATCCACCACCGTAGAGCAATCCAGAGAAATCGTTATCGTTTGTTACCTAAAGAAAATTTTGTGGGTTAGGGTTACGAAGTGGTAAACTCGTACGTCTTGATCGAGGCCAAAGTCTCTGCATACGAAAATAGCTGGGCTGATCATACCCCATATGGAACCGACAACATGTACCGGCACTACTCCCACTGGGTCATCTATCTAAAGCATAATAATTTTTTCTTAGTCTGGCGAAGAAGTGAGCCTTTACCTCTGCTTTTTCTAGTAACGGATAGATCACCAACGCCATTGCTGAACCTATAGCGCCAACCAAGCTAGCCTGCCAAGGGGTATAGAACAGGCACCCGGCTGAAGAAAAGAAGAAAATTTCATAACCCAAGGAAACAGTAACCGGCTGACCTGTGCTTGATACTAAAGAAGCTAACATCCCATCAATTAGCATGTCGACTTGTATCTTATTCGTCGTACATCGTGAAATGAATACGGTCATTATACCACCGCCAGCTGATGCCATTATCGTTCCCACGGCTGACCTGATAGTAATAATATGACTACTAAACTAAAAAGATTTTTGTAATCTAATAAAGCGCGTCTCATATGTTGCGAATTAATGTCAATTAGAAGCTTGTATGGGAGGTAATGCGGGTAATCAAAGCACAGTCAAAAAAAAATCGGAATTATTCAATCATACTTTCCGCTTCGCTCGCCAATCCTAGATCTTTCCCGTGGAAAATAGGAAGAGATGCAGCTTTTTTAAAGTGTCCGCTTTGCTTATCTACACCTAATGCTACGAAACGGAAGTTGGTTATTTTTGCTATTCTCCAAAACGGAGGGGTGGGAAACTATCTGAATACGCTTGTAAAAACGCATCTATTAAGGGTAGAATAATATTAAAAAAGAGTTAATTGTGAACAACCCCCCACAATGGTCGGTCGCCTCATCGTGGCGTGGGGGTGACACTGGGCGTCGAACTGCGATGCACAGCCGAGTGTATACTCTGGTAGGGCCTCCCAAGCTGTGAAGGAGTTCGACCTTTCCGGTTTCGGCCGGATGCCTAGCTAAGAAGCGACCACGCCAGATCCCGCCGTCTGGCTTCTTCTGGTCGTTAGGCGGTCCCTCCCCGCTCCACATCCGAGGTCAGCGATCGCCTCGTGGAAATCAAGAGTTGGCCTAGTAAGTCTGCTCTTGTAGAGGAAACATCTTATTACTCGATCAGCAAAAAGAAGAGAAATAAACCCTGCACATCGGATCTCGCCTACGGCGCCGGGTGGTAGTAAGAACGATGTCAGCAACGCAAAAGGCGCCCTGAGTACCCTGACAAGAACAACACGTCTGCCCGGACGACAAGCCATGGAGACTGCCTCATGCTCTGCACCTACAACGCCAGGACAGTCTCCACAAACGCCGACCTCCATGCTCTTCTCGACGCTGCAGAGCACATCAAGTACCACATCATCGCTCTGCAGGAAACGAAGTCCAGGAAGAAGGACGTGCGACAGATGAGTGATGAGACCCTCATCATTCGTGGTGAAAAGGTTCCATCACGAAACGTTGGAGGCGTTGGCTTCGTCGTCCACCCATCTATCGTCCATCTTGTCGATTCGCATGAGATCCTGCCACCTCGACTGGCCATCCTACGACTACGACCTCCACGTCAGAAGACTATCAGCATCATCAACTGCTACTCACCAACATCAGCAGCTGACGAATCAGAACTAGATGCTTTCTACGAAGACGTGGAGCAGGTCGTCCGCAACAAGAAGTCCTTCTACAAGTTCGTTGTGGGCGACTTCAACGCGAAGATCGGGATGCCACTAGAAGAGGAATACAGGATCGGGAAGTTTGGATATGGGCTCCGAAACGAAAACGGCAACCGTCTCGTTGGGCTCCTCTCCGCCGCACGACTCTTCCATGGAAACTCCATCTTCATGAAGAAAGAATATCGCCGGTGGACTTGGGAATCGCCCAACGGAACGACTCATGCTGAGATCGACCACATTCTCATCAACCGAAGATGGAGCTTACTCGATGTCTCTGTAGTTCCATCCTTCTGTAGTGGCTCCGATCACCGCCTCCTTCGAGCGAAGATACGACTCAGCCGAAGGCTGGAAAAGAAAGTCTGTCATAGTGCCGCGAGAAGGAAGGAAGTCGTTTATGACGGTAACAGGCTGGAAGAGCTCATATCAAGTTGTGACTGGCCCATCGAGGATGACGCGACGTACGACTACGACCGGCTTCTGAAAGGATTGCGAGCCTGCGGAGAATGCGCCTCAGTGACTTCTGAGAAGAACTTGGACCGCATCTCGAAGACCACCAAGGAATTGCTCGAAAGAAGAAGATCATTGAGGCAGGATCCGAATGCAACTCATCTCGAGCAACTGATAGCCAACGCCGGTTGCAGAAAAGCTTTGCAAGAGGATCTCAGGAAGTACAGGCAAGTCAAGATACTGGAAGCAGCTGAAAGAAGACGAAGTCTCAAGAAGTGCCGAAGGGACCTCTGCGAATATCACGTACCGCTGGCTGCACTACTGAACGAAGACGGGACTCCGACTTCTTCCCGATACAAGATGGAATCTATCGCGAAGAACTTCTACACCAACCTCTTCCGCTCATCAACACCCGTGCAGATGCCCGTTGTTCCCACAGGAGAAGTACCACCACGAATTCTACCTGCTGAAGTGCGTATCGCGATACAGACCATGAAGACGTCCACGGCTTCAGGACCAGATCATCTTTCCGTCGAACTTCTGCGAGCCGGAGGACACCGTCTACACGAGATTCTAGCGTCGCATTTGACATCTTACGTTCGAAAGGAAAAGATTCCCGACCAGTGGAGAACGTCAAGAACCGTCCTTCTCTTCAAAAAGGGTGAACGGGAGGATCTTCGGAACTATCGTCCAATATGCTTGCTGAGTGTGCTGTACAAGCTTTTCACGAAGATTATCCTCGCTCGCATATCAAGGACACTGGATGAAGCCCAACCCCAAGAACAAGCTGGATTTCGCAAAGGATTCAGCTGCATGGACCACATCCAGACCGTTTCGAGGGTCATAGAAGTCTGCCGGGAGTACCGACTGCCTCTCGTCCTAACCTTTATCGACTACGAGAAAGCCTTTGACAGCGTCGAAACCAACGCCATCCTGTCTGCGCTAGTCGATCAAGGAGTGGACCCAGCTTACGTGAGGACGTTAGCCGACTGCTACAAGGACTGTACAACGACGATGCAGCTATTCCATCGCCCCCTGACCATACCAATCGAGAAGGGGGTCCGACAAGGCTACACGATCTCGCCGAAGCTGTTCACCGCGGCCTTGCAGTGGGTGATGAAGTCACAGGACTGGGACGAGAGAGGCTTACGAGTTGATGGAAGATTCCTGTCCAACCTTCGTTTTGCGGACGACATCGTTCTCTTCTCGAGCAGTATCACCGAAGCAGAGACGATGCTGAAGGAACTAAACGAAGTACGGAAGAAGATCGGACTGCGAATAAATCGGAAGAAGACTCAGTTCATGAAGAACGCCCTTTGCGAAGAAGCAGAAATGGAATTGGAAGGCACCCCGATTATGGAGACGTCTTCCTACGTGTATCTCGGACGTTCGATGAACATGGAGAACGACTTGAGGGGAGAACTTAACAGGAGAAGAAGAGCAGCCTGGGCCGCCTTCGGGCCTCTGAAGGAAGCCACCGACCAACTGACGGACCCGGAGCTTCGTGCCCACCTGTTCGACTCAACTGTTCTCCCGGCGCTCTGTTACGCAGCTGAGACTTGGGCCGACACTGTAGCCACGTCGAAAGCTTTACGGACCACCCACGGAGCGCTCGAGCGCAGTCTTCTGAAGATGACCCGACGCAAGCAACATCTAGTCGGACTTCGCAGCACGGATATGAGAAGAATGTCCCGTCTTTGTGACCCAGCGGAATACGTCGCGAAAGCCAAACACCGATGGGCCGGTCACATAATGAGAAGAAAAGACGACAGGTGGACACTAAGAAGATCGGAGTGGATTCCTCGCGAAGCCAAACGTCCTCGAGGAAGACCACCGACGAGATGGGCAGGCGTGTTCGTGGAAAGGATGGAACAGCTGAGAAATCAGCTGGATACGACTTTCGCCCCTGGAACTCGTGGACGCAGCCACCGACGACGGCCAAGAAGATCGTGGATGTCTGAAGCGAGGGACAGGGAAAATTGGCGACTTCTGTACTGGGGCTCGCACGTCACGTGAGGACGGGCCATCTAAGTATCTAACAATAAGTAAGTAATTGTGAAGCTGAGTGGCATATTGATGAGCCCGTGCAGAAAGGTAGATGATTGAGTTGTGTGTTTCCAGCAAAAAAACCCTTCAGTCTTACTCAGACGGATGCGATTCTAGAAGAAAAATGGAGGCTTAAAAGTCTTCAGCAACCGTTAAAAAGGAAAGCAGGCTCTTCATGGTCTCCAGATATCTTCCGGCATGGGACTGTTAGGCTCGGAAAAATGTTTTAATTTTATCTGGCCCCACTGTATATCTTCCAAAATTTCTTCGTGAACACTAGATAGTCTTAAGTGAAATACGCATTACCGAGAGCCTTCAGTCCACTGATGTCGAGACACGGAGTAGTTTGACGCGGTATTGAACGCCAACCATCCCCACCAAATCATAAGGAAGCCTCAAACAATTATCAATTTTTCTTGCCTTTGAGGTTCGACATTTTAAGTACCTAGAATAGCCTTTGTGGGATCGCTCATCTGCCGAGCTCTTTTACTTGCAAAACGATATCTGCGAGGTTTCAGATAGAGAGTAGCCACCAAGCCGGAGATACCGCCAACCAGATGAACCTGAGTTTAGAAGGCTACTCAAATATCATGGCATACATACCTGGGTTGACCCACTGCGCTACATCCAGCAGAATCGACAACACCCATAGACCGAAACACCCCATTGTGGTGCCAAATCCAATGACCCGCCACCGCGTGAACCAACGTAATGAAGAACGATACGAAACAGTGCGATTGCAAGTAGATGCGCTCTGCCATTCCAGCTGGAAAAAAACAACATTTATTTTTTCTACAGCGATGAAGCACTATTTCCAAGCTTCAAGTTCCCACTCTTTCAATATAAGGACACGTAACCGCGCGGACAAATTGCTCCTATTCACTTGAGACTTATGGACAAGGAAACAAATGTAGATAAACGTTAGCGCAACAGCAGTCGACTCATTACAGTACCCAAATTAATAAAAAATTATGAAGCACTGCATGGAAGAGGGCGCACTAGAGCTTCGTATCAGTTCTGCAGCAAATCCTTCATTTTTCTTCAGATTATGTTGTATAACTCGCTTTTTCCGTTCTCCTTTTCAAAAACTGTCTTGTTGAGGACTAGAGCGAACTCATTGGATATATACATATATTTTTGTTTTTTTCTTCGTTACCGATTTTGTCCCAAATATAATACTTTTAATGATTGTTCTAAAGGGTGCAAAAATTACCCGCGCGTGTTCCTTGGACGCCAGAAAAATACGGAACTACTGAGGAGGGGCACCAGGGATGTTGCACTGCCGGTATAGTTCTTAACCCCAAAACCGGATAGCGTTGAAAAACTCACAAAAAAGTTTTAAAGACTCTTTTGCATGTGTCTAGTTTTATTTATCAAATCCTTAAACATTTTGTTATACAATACGGGCTTGACGACGGATTAAGCATGCATCTGTTTCCGATAACCATTGTCATCGTAATGCAATAGTCAAATCAGAATCTGGCTTCAACTCTCAAAGTCGTGAAAAGAGGTCTTTTCGAGTTGTGTAGAATGTCTGTTGTAGAATTTAATTAGTGCATCCTATGACATGGAATGGAGACTATAACTCTCAGTCGTTTTTTTGTGCAGAGCTGCAACTTTTGGCGCCGGTAATTTTGGCGCACGCGGTAGATGCAATATGTGTCAAGTACATAGATAAATTCTGACCACGGAGTTTCGCACATTGAAAATGAATCGTTCAAAGATTTCTGTGCTGTCACATAATTAAGTGTGAAGGAAGATGAGCCGCAATGCGCATTACGACTTCATAAGATTTGCTATTTCATCATAGTTTCAAAGGACTCGCTCAGATCCTCGACCTGTACCTTAACATTCATTTTGTATAGTGGGTAAATAGATAATACTGGAAATTTTTCAATTAGATTTTGGCGCAAGTGCATTCGATTTCACCGATAGTAGCTTTGATCCCTGTATTATGCACTCATCGTAGCAGTTGGTGAAAAAATACGCTTCAGAAAATTATGTGAAACTTTCATAATGGTGATGGCAAAATTGTTTTTTTTTCGGAGATGGCAAGAGTTTGAACCCTTTTCTTAATCTCAGAGACGAGCCGCCATATGAAGAGATTCATTAAAGGCAGCGTCCAGGCAAGTCTGGACCTATGGGAATTTTACGTGGAAAGTACTTTTGGGGCACCAGCTAAGCCACTGCCCAACCGGCAGCTCAGGTAGTGCCTTAACGCCTGAGATATTCCCCTCGAAACTGGACCCCGCGACCGTGTTTCGCATGGATTCATGGCGCAAAGCGTGGATCCTGGCGCGAAACTGCCATGAATCCATGCGAATACGTTCGCGGGGGCCAGTTCCGAGGGCAATATCTCAGCCATTAGAGCACTACATGAGCTGCCGCTTGGGCAGTGCCTTAGTTAGGGCCCCAAAAGTACTTTCCACGTAAAAGCCCCATAGGTCCAGATCTGCCTGGACGCTGCCTTTAATATCGAAGCAATGAGGCGAAAACTAAATGATTGCTTCAGTAATAATTGCTATAAATTAGACCTGAGACGATCGTTGACGTCGTCGTTGCGAAGCTCATTTGGAATAGAAAGAGTGCATATGAAGAACCGGCCTGAAGAAATTGTTGTCGACCTTTGCATGACAGTTGCAAGCAAAACTAACCCTGTCTGCATTGGGCTTGTCATCTCTTTCCGGATCGAAGAAATAATCGCCTACACCAATGTATGGATTCGCAAATCGATCGCCAAATGTGAACCCGTAACCAAACATCCAGTAAGCTAGACCTAAACATTTGGAATGCTAAGGCCGTTTAATCAGCAGAGAGAATTATTCCATATTGATTACGGTAGATTACGGTAGCACAGCCTACTGATTGCAATAACCTAGGACATGTGAAAAATCTGCTAGAATCACTTACCTCCAAATATAACATCCACAACATTTTTCACCATAACATTTACCTCGTCCTTTGGTGAAACCCGTCCTGATTCGAGCAGTCCAAAACCTGCACAAACTTTGGTAAAAAATCTCATGATAGTGAAAGCTATCTTACCCGCTGTCATAGTAAAAATAGTGAAACTTGATGCAGTCATCCATACACCATCGTCTTGGATTTCTGGATTGTGCAGCTTCGTTGCCATGTTGTTAACCCGTACAGTTTGATGGAATGATTTTTATTAGATTTTCTGAAAATATCTATCAGTTTTTCCTATATCGAAGAAGTCGTTGTTGGGATGCATAATCTACACCCCAGATTTTTTCGTGACGCAGGTTGCGGTATCTGCTCGATATTGCTTTGCCCATGAAGACTGCGCGTAGTATGGGAAATGTGAAAACCATGGTTTCCAAAAAGTAAAGCTTGAATGAAACGTCCGTGAAAAAAACTAAAACGTAAGCGGCAAAATTATTTATTTTTAGAGTTATAACATATGCTACAGCTTGAAGTTTTGTGTATATGAGTGAAGTTCGAGCTCATGAGGCTGGAAACCGAAGTTAGTAATGAAAGGATGGCTAAACTTGGAATTAGCATGTAGTACAGATGACGTTTACTGTTTTAGCGGAAATCGCGTCAAAATGATGTGAATTGAGCTGATTTTAGTTGCTTTATTAGTGTGGCATTTGCGACAAAGAGCGTCATGTAAGTGAGGTGATATTTATCACGTCATTTCGATATTTGCGCCATCTGACGGCTATTCTTGAAAATGAGGGAAGTTTATAATAGAGGAAGCCATGTAGTTTATAACAGTTCATAGCCTGAGAGCCAATCATGAAATCGCTGCAGGATATAGCAAGTAGAAATGAAAGTCCAAAAAAATGTTCACGCCCGCTATTTATCTGATTTGGTTCTGGCACTCTCCCATGTAACTGAAAAATATAGCAAAATGCTCTTCAGTTTGATATGGCAGATCATGAAATATTGCTGGAAGATGCATATTTCTCGTCACGGCGATTTGTGAAATTCCACAGTAAATCTACTCCAGTCGAATAGACTTGAAATGGTACTAACAAGGCTGTAAGGCGCTTCATGAAATTTTGCGTTAGAGGCCAAATACGTCCTGAAAACTTGCTATTAGGTTGCAACATAAGTCTTGTTACACTTTAACTTCCTAAGGCAATTGGTCGTACCTTCATATTCTTAGTAGGGCTCCAGTTTAACTTTCTAAAGAGCAAAGCAAGTTCTACAAGATGTTGTGCAAACTTTTCCACCAGCCTAGACCCATCGTAAGTTTGTATCCAGATTTTGAGTCGTAGAAGACTCAGAAAGTTGGGAAAAATTCATATCTTCGTCTTTTGAAAATCGCAAGGATTTTCAAATTGCTCACAAAATGCACATCTCATCAAACACTCACACACACCGTTGCTGCTTTTTTCTCATCTAGAAGTCGAGAAAGCGGAGAATGTCATGCTTTAACAATAGCGAAGCTACGCTGTTTCCACTTATGCAATTGTATGCCACAAGCCCTTAGAAGTATACTCGTAGATAGCTTTCCATAGGCCCTAGCCTTCAAAAAATACCGAATAAGCTCTCCTCTTTCAGATGTTTCAAGCTGAAATTGATATTTTTTGAAAACTATTTTATATGGAAAGGTAAAAATTTACGGTTATACTTCTAGGGGCTTGTAGCATACAACTGCATAAGGGGAAACAGCGTAGCTTCGCTATTGTTAAAGCATAAAATTTTCCGCTTTTTCAACTTCTAGATGAGAAAAAACAGCAACGGTGCCATGAGTGTCTGATGTGATGTGCAATTTGTATGAACAAGCCGTCCGATTTCTTAAAACGAAGATATGAATTTTTCCTAATTTTCTGAGCCTTCAGTACGACTTAGATTCTGGGCACAGACTTACGATAGGTTGAAGATGATGCGAAAATTTGCACATCATTTTCTAGAGCTTGCTTTGCTCTATGGAGTGGTGCCCTGGAGCCCTATTCAAGAATATAAAGTGTACAACTTATCGCTTTAAGAAGTTAAAGTCTAACAGGACTTATGTTACAACCTGATAAAAAGATCACTAGCGCATAGTTCGACTCTATTTTGTGAGAAGCTGCATGTTTGTATCTAAACCAAATTTGAAGCTCAGACACTGTAAAAAAATTACCATTTCTGCATTACCTAAAAGCAGTCAATGTCTTCTTAGAAATTTTATAGCGATCCCACAATGATGAATCCCACTAAACATCTCATCGGGCCTTACATAAATTTACGAAATTGCACACGCTTCCTCCTATGGCTTTGTTGTCATGATTGCATAATTACTTTTCTATATTTCATATTGCGTAATGCACCAGCTGCATTCAATTGTTTCCGGGTGTTCTAAAGAGTACGTGGTTTTTCAAAAAATGGACGATAGATATGCAGAAACATATTCTTTGTCCCCAAACCACGGCTAAAATATGCAGTTTTGGATTATAGAGTAGCAGAAAATGATGGATCGTGAAGCGCAAAACTATGTACTCCTATAGCATATATTTTCATGTATAGCAAGCAAATATGTACGGTTACCCAATGGAAGTTTAATGCCCGGTATTAGAAATGAATGCATATTACATTACCAGATATGGCTTACTCTTATACTTACGGAGCATGGGTAACGAGAAAGGCTATAAAGCATGAGGATTGCTATAACTCACTCCTGTACAAAAAAAGAAAACTTGTTTGGTTTTTCAAGGGCCACAAGGATAAGTCATCTTACTCACTTACAGGAAAGGTTATACCCGTTTTTTTTGCATAGTATTATAAAGGTACGAGAAACCATTCATAAATTTATTTGATGAATGCGAACCAAAGATTCCCAGACATATTACAATCTCGAGGTTAGCTGAGTAAGTAGAATAGAATAGTTAGTAAGTAGAATAGTTTGAATGTTGTAGATGAAGTCGAAATTAATGGGCCATAATTGAGAATTTTTTCACTGGATGTCATGAACAAACGTCCGAAAATAAAATGAAACGAAACCTATTTGAACTGGACACCGGCCATTGACGTGAATTATCACGACATACTATTATTCGGGTAATTCTATTAGATTGTCCGGAAAGTAAACTCCTTTTTTAGACAATTCGAGCTGGTTTTTCTTTTCCTAGTAGAATTAGGATGTCATTCGATAGAGCAGATCGAGCCTACAAAATAGCCACCGAGGAGTCGATTCCATGTAAAGTTTGAAGCCAAAATCAAAAATTGCCACCTGAAAATGGGATTTTTGCAAGAAAAACCTACGAATTTACAACTTGGTCATTATATATTAGGCACACAGCAGTACTCGAATATGCATTTGCTGGATTTTTTCCGGGCATGGAAAGTAAGAAAAAAGAGATAGTCCGAAATGGCAGATTCCGCCCCCAACCCTCCCACATTGTCATTGTATACTACCAGACTTACCTATATAATCTCAAAACTTTACCCTTGAATGTGCTCGAGAAATGGCCGAGAAATACCAAGTTTCACATGAAAACCCGAAAAAGTGACATTTCGGCATTTTCGAACCATCTTTGTTTGAGCTTCGGAAAAAATCAACCTACATTTTTGGATACTACTATGTGTTTATTATATCAAGACCAAGTTAGAAGTCCGTAGGAATTTTTTGGAAGGATATCCGACTTTTAGGGTAGCTGCGAAATTCTCATTTTTCTCCAAATTTTACCTGAATTACGACGTAGGCGGATCTTTGGTGATCATTTTGTGAGGATTGCATGGCTCTTACAAATGATATCCTAGGTCTGTTAGTAAAACAAAATGAGTTGATTTATAATATTTGAAAATGGATTTCACTTTGAGTCAACCTAATACAAAGTTGTAGATTATTGTTGGGGATAGCATCGATAGACAATTTAATGCGATGTTACTTTCATTTGATTATTTTTAGGAAAGCAAAAGGAAATGACAGGAAACATCAACGCAAACAGCGTCAATGAGATAATCACTGACGGGTATTGCGTAAATCTGACTGCAATATGGTAATTATAGCACAGATACAGGAATCCTGTGACGAAAATTCATCAAAGTAATGTTTATCATGATAAGCTTTCTAGCAGCTAAGCTGATTGTCGCTATAAGAAGCCTGATTATCTCCTAATGAGGGTTCCGTACGACAGTGAAGGAACTGAATCGAAGCAAACAGTAGGCTGATGTCTGATTTAGCTGCGGCAGATAGTGAATGAGAATCTTATGGCATCAGTCGAATGGCCCCATCCCTTGAGCAAGACAGGCAGTCTTTTCTGATAGTCGCCGTTTACCTTGCTTCTATAGGGTTAGCAAGGAGCATTTCGGAGTTTCTGCACTTTTCAAATAGAGGAAGGCAAGCCCTGCAAGATGATGTCAGGAATAAGCTTGATCAATGATTTGAAAGAGAAGCAAGGCCAAAAATGGAAAAAAGAAGTCATGTCCAAAAACTAGCAAACTAACAACAAGTAAGGAACCTGCACAAAGGTTCTGTATGCTCCACGTAGAGTGATAGTGCATAGTGATATAGTGATACACACAGAGGAATGGTGCGCTGTATTCATTCCGTTTTCGAGAAGAAAAACACGAGTTCAAGTTGGCAAACTCCGCCCCAAACTTCTGCCTCCTCCTACATAGTCTGCTGTACAAACATGCGCATACTTGAATATATAGTGTGGACCCCGCCCAGCTTCCCATAGGTACCTCCACGGTACACCCGCAGCGCGTGCATTTCTTGATGCTTCTCATCTCACTTATGAGCAATAGAGCATATCTGCGCACCATAGGAGAGAATTAAGAAGTGGAAACCCGTAAATTCACTTCGAAAGAAACGTATGCAAGAATAAAACGCACGCAACCTCCAAATTATTACTACCTCAAATTCAATCAATGGCTGCAAATTTCAGACTTGCACCCATGGAAAAGCGGTAATAAGTAAACCTAGAGCGAAGAAGAACAACCGCATTCTCAAAACGTTTCTCTTCGCAAACTTAGAAACTAGAATGGTAAAATAACTCAAAAAATGTGGATATTTCCGTAAACAAATCTCTAAAGGCCTCTCGAAAAACTTAATTTGCCTTGATACACTGTCTACACTCTGAAAATCAAGTCGAGAGGGACTCTTATTAAGTAGAAAAAGCTTTTGGAGGAATATTCTCTTAGAATACACCTCAAATCTCAATCTCTCGGGGAAAAAAAGGA